GCATTTTGAAGTATCGCATGAGAAACGAGTGATGGAAAAGCCAAATTTCGAAAAGAAATCCCTTAATTCGCAAAAAAGTTTTTACGCTCGCTTGAGGTGGTTTTTGACTTAATGCGAATAATGGGAGATGGAAACGCATTTTGCGAATAAATCCCGCATGAGCGTTCAAAAAAGTCATGTGACTATGCACTATGGGACAGCATAACCTGACTAATCAGCGGACCGATTTTGTTGCACAGAATCTGAAATGTTGTCATGGCCATTTCTGTATAACTGCCTCCCAGAACGGTCTACCATGACTGCGTTCCCAAACAGCAGACATTCACCTCCAAAAGCAAGACCGCATTTATTGTGTTTTGTCTGGTCACTTAAAGCGCAAGTAATTTATTATATTTTAGAATTATTACATTAAGTGGCTTCTCTTACTTTTCTTAGTGATATTTAGTGCCAGTTTATCAGGAAGTGACAATTTTGTTCTCTCTGACTCGTTGGATGGAAACAGTGCTTGTTCGCAAATGTTTTATGCGATATTCCAATTTTGCGCACAAGTTAAATTCGCAACTTTGGATGGAAACCCGGCTACAGAAGTACTGGGATAAAAGTTTGTAGTTCAGATATAAACTCTGATGTGTATGGTAGTGATCAAAATAGAGTAAATCACCCTTTGAAAGTAATTTGACACTTCAAATAAAGATTTATTGATCACATTGTTATGCCAGTAGGTGGCGAAAAGGGGCTGTTAAAATGTATTTGTCTTTGAATAATTTCAGAGAATTGTTCATCCAGTAATGAAACAAGTAAATCTTGACTGAGTCATTGAATCGTTCATTCATCATTACATCATGAAAGAACCACAATCAGCATTAAAAAAATCTAAATTTATCAAGAATCATGCAGCTCTATTTTGCACACAAACAGCTCTTAAACGAGTCCAGTTTTTATGTAGCCTGCTGATTTTTGTTCATGGTATTCAGCTGCAACTAAATGTTTTGCAAAAAGAGACAGAATAAATTTGTTTGATATTTAAATGTTTGACTTCATTTTTTATTCACACTGGAATCGAAACTGGGAATCGAAATGAATCGGAATCGATAAGCAGAATTGGAAACTGAATTGATAAAATTAAAACGATTCCCAACCCTAGTTCTCACACAGAATGAGTTCTACAATATTTTTCAGCCATGACACACAAGTATGCAAAACAAAGCAAAACTATTAACCTTATTAAATAACAATAATTAACATATAAAATATGAATACAATTATAACCGATACTGTTGTGTGACAGATGTGTTTGTGGACCAAATCAATAACACAATCACAAATCATTAATTATGCAAATAATTACACACACACACACACACACACACACATATATATATATATATATATATATATATACAGTATATTAACTACTGACTTACCCATGTCCATAAACGTCTGGGGATGCCAGGGCAGCGGTGACAGCACCCACTACAGCTCCCAGAACCCCTGGCATTCCATGCAGGTTATGAATGCCACAAGTGTCCTGAATCTTCAGTTTCGATTCCAAAACCGGCTAAAATAACACAAAACAGCAACAAACGTGATACTGAGGCTTCTTGTGGATGTTTATAGTTATGTGACAGAGAAATGTGCGCTACTAACCGTGAGGTATTTGTATCCCAGTACTGAAATAGTTCCAGCGAGGAATCCCACGATCATAGAGCCAAACGCAGTCAGCATCATCTCTCCAGCTGTTCCCACAGCAACACCACCAGCCAGTGCTGCATTCTGGATGTGCACCTGAAAAAGACAGAGGCTTGTAAGAGGGTTTGTAATGTTGCAGTTTGTAACGTAGTATCAAAGATAGCCACAAGGGGATGCTCACCATGTCCAGTTTGCCTTCAGGGTTGACTAGGGCGGAGAAAGCGAATGTAGCCAGTGTGCAGGCGGCCAGAGAGTAGTAAGTGTTCATAGCGGTTCTGTGCTGTGGATCACCGTAGTTTGTAATGGCTGAGTTGAAGCTGGGCCAGAACATCCACAGATAGATGGTACCTGAGCAGAACCCAAGCTTTAGTGGATCAGAGAGTCCTGGTTGATCACAGGTTAGAATTTTTTAGGTGACTTACCGATCATGGCAAAGAGGTCAGAGTGGTAGACAGACGAGTTTCTGTGTTTGCTCTTGTCCAGGTTTGGCCTGTACAGCACACGGGTCACCATTAGGCCAAAGTATGCACCAAATGTATGAATGGTCATGGATCCTCCAGCATCATTGACCTAGAGATACCGTTAACATTTACATTTGTACTGTCATGTTTACACTCATAAATGTAAGAATATAAATATGTATATAGTTTTTGAACTCCATATGCAGACTGCAGCTTATTTGTTTTTAGCTTATTAGTTTTATTTGTGGAATTTAATTTGGATGTAAAGTAAACGTAAATGTGAAGTACTCAAATGTAATCTAGTAGAACTTGTTTTGTTAAAGTCTAAGGTGGAGCTGTAACTACATATTATACGCACAAATACATTTGGCAAGACCGAAAAATAAATGAAAGACACATATTAGAAAGTAATCTATACATCTGATAATCTATACAGCTGATAATTTATAATGGCATTAGATGTAAAGAGAAACCAATTCATACTCAATCTACTCAGGATGCAGGACTTATATAATAGTTTACAACAAGCTATACACTGTGATTATGATAGTAATACCATGAATTTGTCTTTATTATGCCTGTGGGAGATATTAAGAGTAATATTTGTCAGGGGTTGCCAGGCGAAGGAGTACGCAGGAGGCAGATATACAACAAACAGAGTCTTTTAATAAATCCACTGGGGAGAAATGTAGAAAACAACCACTTTCAACGACGGAGACACGACAAAGAAACTTAGGAAAGCAGGGCTCGACAGTGCGAGCATTTCACTCGCATTTGCGACTAAAAATAGATGGAAATCAACGAAATGGAAACAGTGCGAAATGGAAAATGTATTTAATTGCACGTGTGCGAATAATAATTTTTTTTTTACCAAAAAAAAAAAAACAAGCAGATAAAACACTAATAACGCAGTCTCAGAAAAAAACTCACGTGATCCACACAAAGTGCGTGCAGGCGCCACATTAAAAAAAAAAAAAAAAAC